CTCCAGGGATGCTAATTCAAGGGACTCTGTGGACTATGTGTTTCCTTCTGTAACACATTCACAGGTGATGTTGATGCCAATGGTGTAGGCATCACACTTTGGGAGGTCCTGGAGAAGGTATTGCAGGAGGGCGGGATGTGTAGGGATGAGTGGGCAGCTGTTTGAACTGAGAAGTGAATGAAAAAGAGGGAGGATCGAGGGGAGGAGTTGTGGCCAAGGAGATTCCTCCATGTTGCTAAGCTTAATGAACCATCTTCTGTGCATCTTGCTGCCCCCCTGTCTTGCTTTCGTAGAAGGGCTTCCTCCTGGCTTCAGCGACACCATTTTCCTCTACCTTCCCTCCGTCCCTTCTGATGACTCTTCTCCTTTCTTCCTCTTCCAGCATTTTTGTTTTTAAATTTATATTCAAGTTAGTTCACATACAGTGTAGTCTGGGCTTCAGGAGTAGAACCCAGTGATTCATCACTTACATATGACACCCGGTGCTCATCCCGAAAAGTGCCCTTGTTAAGGTCCATCACCCATTTAACCCCCACTCCACCCCCCAGCAACCCTCAGTTTGTTGTCTGTATTTAAAAGTTTCTTAACTTCCAGCGTTTCTTGAGCTGTAGCCTTGATTCCATTTTCCCTGAGGGAAAGGGGTGAGGTCTTCAACAGAGACTTTCAGCTCCATCCTGCTTCATAGTGAACACTCTGTAAAGTGTTTTATTTTATTTTTTAAAAGATTTTATTTTATTATTTTACTATTTAAAAAAATTTTTAACATTGTTATTCATTTTTTGAGGGACAGAGAGCAAGCAGGGGAGGGGCAGAGAGAGAGAAGGAGAGACAGAATCCCAAGCAGGTTCTGGACTGTCAGCATGGAGCCAGATGCAGGGCTCGAACTCATAAACCATGAGATTATGACCTGAGTCACAATCAAGAGTTGGATGCTCAACTGACTGAGCCACCCAGGCGGCCCCTAAAAGTGTTTTAAAATAACGTAGAAGCTGATGACCAGTTTTCTTGGTTCTCGGCTAGCCCATAGGTGACTCAGGGCCAGGACATTTCTAGGCGCCTCTTCCCACCCCCAGCATGGTGGAGGCGCACAGTAGGTGCTTAGTAAGTATTTATGAACCAATGAATAATTCTTGCTGTCACCATTTTGCCAGTTCTGTGAATGAAACCAAGCTACTTAATCTCTCAAAATTTCAATCTCTTTATGTATATGGGGACTAGAAGTAGAACTTATCTCCTAAGAGTTGCCTTGGGGTTGAAAAGAGATAATGTAGGTGAAGTGTTTGGCACGTAGTAAACATGAACTACTGTTTTTGTGTTTACTGTTGGTACTGGGTGACTTTGGGAGTGCTAATGAACTGTGGAAACTTCAGTATTGTCACAGTCAACAATCCTCCCGCTGGGCTGTTGTGAGGGTCCGTGAGATGAAGGGTTTGGCAGATAGTGGGTGTGTAATGAAGGTTAATTCTCTCTCTCCAAGCTGTCCCTTTCCCCACCCCCAGAGACCCCTGACTGCACTGGCTTGTTTTATCCCATGATCAGCTGATGGGGTAACAATGGGAAGAAAATGTTGGGGTCTGTGGCTGAGCTCCCAAGGCATTGTTTAAAAACAAAGAACATTCCTTTTAACCTTAGAAGACCTATATCCCATTTACCACTGGTTCCCCTCAACTGTGTCTTCTTGGTGTAGACTAATATGGAGAGAAATGGCATTAAAAACAAAACGCAAAATTATCTTAGGAGTCATTTAGAATCACCTCCTGCCAATTACGCAAGATGAACTTTCTTGGGAATTAGTCTAAATTCTCTCCTGGAGGATCTAGAATGGAGAAAGATTCTTTCCACAGTCTTAGTGCTGGCTGTAGAGTCTTTTTAGTTTTATTTTTTTAATGCATCTCTGTTCTCATCCGATTAGCTTGTTTTTACCCTCCTTCTCCTTTGAAATAGGCCTGTAATGGTCTATAACCTTAAACGTGGAGACTTTCGTAAAGCTACCAGTGCATTTATAGATAGTGTTGTGGGATACCCTTCAACATTTTTGAGCCTACAGACTATTTACTGTCGGGAAGAAATGCTTCAGGGGCCCCTAGCGTGTATGTTTAAAAATTATTACTGACTGAGCCAATCGTTAGCTGTGAAAACAAACCACAGAAGACCCCCTAACACTTGTCTTCTTTCCCAAGCTTTGTGCCGGAGTATGGCTTAAAGACCAGCAGACAACTTTATTTACATATCCTAGCTGTGGCTGTTAGGGCAGGAGGGTGGAAACTTTGTTCATTTAAAAATTTGATTGTTTTTATAATGTGGATCTCCTTTGTTGCTTCCAAACGGCAGCATGAAATAACACTTCCTTCCTCTTTATGCATTGCATCCCTAAACAAAATCACCCCCAGAACCCCCCGGGGTAGTCATTAATTCCTGGACATTGTCCTGGGTAAGAGGCAATCGTCAGTAGTAGCTCATTCCTTCCCGTATATTCTCGACAAAATTGCAAGCTCCTCCCCTCCATCTCCGATCCTTGATTATTGTTATCTACAAAATAGATCAAACAATGGCACAGACCCTAGGGACCCTCTGGGTGGCTTTGGGAACCAATTTGTGTTGGGGTCAAGATCCGCCTGACTTTCTGGAGAAAAGTTGGCATGTGTTCTGTTTTGAGACCTGTCTCTAGCTTTGTATACCTGAGAGGGGGGCTTAAAATCAGTAGTTGGAATGGTTCCCTTCCATCCCCACAGCCAAGCTCTGCATCACTAAGTTTCCTGATAATTTGGAAAGGGGAGTTGTTTTCCCAGTGAGGAACACTCTCTCCTATTCCGCCTGCTTGCCTGGACTGAGTGATTCAAATTAACACCTTCCTTGTTCTCAAGCAAGTTACTCCAGAACCGCACTCCAGCCACAAAGGGACAAAGAATGAATCGTTTAAGATCGCCCCCGCTTTAATAATGCTTTGAACTATTCAACTTCTGTGGATTGTATCTCCCTTTGAATTTAGGTTTGAGGGTGTGACTACATGAAACCATTAGGGTGGGACTTAGGATCCAAAACAAAGGATCCAGAAAAAGACATTAAGGGCTTGAATAAATTATCCTAGAGTTCCAAACCAAAGACGGTAATTATTTACTGCTGTAGGGGTGGTGGTTGGTGCTGGTGGTGGTGGATTAAAGTTCTAAAGAAGAGTCCAGGATCTGAATCTACTCTGAGGCTGGGACAATGAGATAATTAGAACAGCGATAGTAACTTGCATTTACTTAGTCAATGTTCCAGTTCCCCGGCTTGCGAAGCCTTATAATTAATACTATCTACACTCAAATATGCCTTTTCATGTCCTAATGATAACCACGTGTCATGAGTGTCCATGTCTCAAAGAGGTTGAAAGCAAGGGGGTTTGTAGTTTCCAAAATAATGACTCAAGTGACAAAGAGTTAAGTATGTTTTATTTTATGATCTGAACAGTAGCGCTCCAAACTGGCTGCTTCCCAGGGGAGAACGGGTGAATCTCATTTAACAAACGGCTAAGGCTAAGGTAGGAGTGAATGACTTGTGGATTTCTCATAAAGAAAACATGGGGTGGGGTGTGTGTGTGCCTGGGTGGCTCAGTCAGTTAAGTGTCCGACTTCGGCACAGGTTATGATCTGGTGGTCCCAGAGTTCGAGCCCCTATTCAGGCTCTGTGCTGACAGCTCAGAGCCTGGAGCCTGCTTCAGATTCTGCGTCTTCCTCTATCTCTGGCCCTCCTCCACTCGCATTCTGTTTCTCTCTCTCTCTCTCTCAAAAATAAACATTAGAAAAAATTTAAAAACCATGAAACAATGAACAAAATACAAAATGAAACAAACCAAAAAAAAAGGGGGAACTGATGTCCCACAGGGCCTAAATGTTGAAATTCAGGCCATATAATGTGCTAGATTGGGGACTCCTCTTTTTGTGAGTGGCCAGGCTATTCCCACTGGCTCACTGCCGAGGTCTAGCACAGGTTACGAGTGGACTCCTTGGGTTTGAATCTCGGCTCTACTGTTCATTATCAGTGGTCTTTGGGCACATGGGTGAGTCTTTCTGTGCCTCAGATCCCCCTTCTGTTATAAGGAAGTCAACATTGGGCTGATTCCCGTTCATAGGGCTGCTGTGGAAATACTCTAAGGAACATGCTTACAAGAATGCCTGGCACATGAAGTAGGCTACTATGGTTATTATTTGAGTCAGACCATCAGGCCCCAAGCCAAAAGCATTCTTGACCTCAGCACTTTAGACACAGGATGAGCTAAGGCATGATAGTGAAGTGTTAAGTGTTTTTCAAAGAATGGGAGGGGGGCTGACCTGGATTCAGCCTTTTAAAGTGTGGCCACAGAGAAGTTACAAAACCCCTCTACGCCCCTGTGTTTCATTGTTTGCGCAATAGGGTTAATAACGTGCCTCCCTCCGGGACCACTAAAGCATTTTCATCTTCAAGGCAATCAGGGGGCTGGTTCCTACTCTCCTGTCTGGGTTTGAATGTAGGTGGGGGGGGGGTGGTGGCATGGGTTAACCAAATGAGTTTCTTCATCTTCCCCCTCCCCCAATCCTTACCCCCTGTGTATACTTATCTTTAACCTCTGGCATCCCTTTACCTTCTCACCAGCTTACTGCCTGTTCATTCTTCCAGATAGCCAACTCTGACCCCTATCAAGATCTCCAGGAAGCATCTTATAACCCTGAGAATTTAAAGATTTAAAGGACCGAGATCCATTTGGACAAAGAAAAGCCCTTGCCCTTTTCTTAAATAACTTCTTCTTCCATCTTTGTAAACTCATTCCCGTGAGGGCCAAATTTTGTTAATTGGAATTGATGAGAATGAAAAAAAGGAAAAGGCAAGAAAAGAAACAAAACACTCACAACTTAAGATTTGGCTCAATTATATATTTGCCAGGTATTTTATTTTTTCTAAAAACAATAGAAAAAAATCAACTTTAAAAAGGAAAATGTACTTAAATAAAAAAAATTATGGTTTATAATACATGGTTTCAATTCTTGTATAACTGCTATAAACGTTTTATTAAAGTTATTTACATTTAATGGCCATATTTACACAGGAAAACGGGGTAAACTTTACGGATTCTTTAAAAACAATTCTTAAATACAAATCTGTTAAAAGGAAAAAAAAAAAGATGGCAAGCATAAAAAAAAGTTCTTTTATGTCCAAAGTTCCATTTGAGGCAGTTTACATTATGGCTAAACCTTTCAATCCCAAGACCCAGCCAAGGTTGTGAGGTTGCACTTGACCATGCATTTGAAACAAGTTCAGATACGAGGAGTTGCTACAGTTCTGTGAGAAGGAACCTTTTTCCTTACTTTCCCTTAGTAACAAGTGAGAATTCATGAGCGACTCCAGTTCCTCCCTCTAATAGGTGGACTTATGCACAAGAGTTCCTAAGCTGTTCAAGTTTGTGTTTCAACTGTTCTCGTCGCTTCCTCAACAAGTCCTTTTCTGAAATGAGCTTCTGCTCCCCTGCTTGGACCGACAGGATGTACGCGGTGGCTTTTTTAAGGATAACCACCTTGGGGGCCTTTTCGTTGTTTTCCAACTCGGGGATCTGGTCGCGCAGGGCAAAAAAGCTCCGTTTCAGCTCGTTTCTCCTCTGGCGTTCCAACACGTTGTGCGTCCGCCTCTTGTCATTCTCCTCCGTGTCCGAGGACCTGGGGCTGGCACACTTGCGGTTGTTGCTGATCTGTTTCAGGACTCTGCCACTGTCCAACTTAGCCCTCTTGGCCGCGGGATAGTCCTTCCTGGTGGAGGGGGGCGCTGCATAGTTGTGCTGATGGGTGGGCACGTGGCATCTCTTAAGGACCAGGGGGCTGTGAGGAGGTTTGCCATGGCCTCCGGCGGGGGGGGACCCCGATTCCGACCTTTTGGCAGGGGCCTGCCTTTTCTCCACGGAAACGACATCGATTTCTTCTTCCTCTTGTTCTTCCTCTTTAAGAAAGGAGAAAAGAAATCGCAAGGGTTAGCTACATGCCCTTACAGCAATCAAGGACCAGATTAAATGAATGCTATGCAAATATGAGGCCTTATTGTGTGAGAAAGGGCCCTGGCACAACAATGTCATCCCCAGAGAACAAATGAGCCAATCAACCCAGCTCCTCTCGCAATGCAGGCAAAGTCAGGGAGGGACAATGACACCTGGGTTTACGGCACAGATGAGAAAATTACGAATTTACCAGGATAAACCCTTGATGCCAATTCTTACCTAAGACTTAATGAGGCTTTGGACACACCCAACGCAAAGCACATTCCCAAGCACCTCCTGGTTTTAAGGGATTGTACCAAGAAGCCTTCAGGTATTGCAAATGATAGCTGGAAGTCTCTTGGTGTGACTTTAGCAACTCCCTGTTTTACTGGAAGTGCAGAAAGAAAAAAAAATTCTTGTGGCTTTGCCAAAAGTTCTAGGGGTGGGGGAAGGAAAAAAAATAAAGCCCAGTTTTGGCAAGGATCTGCTTTTAAGGGTTCAAAACAGGCTGAACAGAGCCCAAGCCCCTCAGCCCATCTTTAAGGCACTTTCCCTAGCTCACAGCACCAGGGAGGCCGGCTGCCTGCCTCTGTCCACTGCCTGCCCATCTTCATTTTCTATGGATCTGTAGTCCGGGAAAACCCAAGAACTACTCAGAAGGGACGAGGGAGGCACCCCCTTCGCTCTCACAGAGATCAATCCCCTCTTACCCCCCTCCTCTGGCAGCCCCCACCCCCCACCGCGGGGGCAATTAAAACGCTGGAGAAAACTAAGAGGGAGTGGATTGGGTTGCAAGATAAGCCAGCCGATTTAAAAACCCAAAAGAAATTCCTAAGGGGAGGGAGGGAGAGGAGGGGGCCGGCCACTGGGGCGGCCTTCTTCGGAGAAGGGATGGGAGGCAACCCTAAAGCCCCGTGTTCCGGGACGAGCTCCCAGATCCTTCCAGATCTAGCAGTTCCCTTCCCAAACAGAAGAGAAGAGAAAAGGCGGGGTCGACCGAGGGGCCGGTGGAATGAGCCAAGGTACCCAGGCCGGGGGTGGGGGGGGGGGGGGGGGGGGCGCAGCTCACCGGAGTCGCTGCTGGTGGTGGGCGGGGTCTCCTCGTGCAGCGCCAGGGGCTCGGGGCTGGCGCGCGGGGAGGACTCGGCCGAGGAGAGCAGGGAGTCCGAGGACGGCGAGAAGGCGGCGGAGTCCGGGGAGGCGCAGGGCTTGGGCGAGCTGCTGTCGTTGAGCGGGTAGGGGAAGACCACGGAGGGGTCGATGCACTCGGAGGCGGCGGCGCTTAGGTCCTGCAGGTAGAGGCTGGAGGTGGAGCAGCCGCCGGCGCCGCGCGCGGGGCTCGGGCTGCCGCTGTCTTTGCGCGCCGCCTGGTAGGAGGCCAGCTTCTCCGACACGAGCTTGGCGGCGGCCGAGAAGCCGCTCCACATGCAGTCCTGGATGATGATGTTCTTGATGAAGGTCTCGTCGTCCGGGTCGCAGATGAAGCTCTGATTCACCATGTCTCCCCCCAGCAGCTCGGTCACCATCTCCAACTGGTCGGCGGTGGAAAAGCTGCCGCCGCCGCCGTCGTCGTCCCCCCGCGGGGAGAAGGACGCGAAGGCCACGTAGGAGGGCGAGCAGAGCCCCGAGCGGCGGCTGGGGGACAGCGGCGGGGTGGGCAGCAGCTCGAATTTCTTCCAGATATCCTCGCTGGGCGCCGGCGGCTGCAGCTCGCTCTGCTGCTGCTGCTGGTAGAAGTTCTCCTCCTCGTCGCAGTAGAAATAGGGCTGCACCGAGTCGTAGTCGAGGTCATAGTTCCTGTTGGCGAAGCTGACGTTGAGGGGCATCGCGGCAGCCTGCGGAAGGGGGCACACAAAGCGGGGGTTCTTGAGTGGAGGGGGCTCTGGGGTGGGTGCCGCAGCCCCGCGCAGCGCGCGCCCGGATGCCGCTCCGCTCCCCTTGCAGCGCCGGCTAGGTGGCCAGGGGGGGCGAAGGGCACGTCCCACCCGGTCCCAGGGGGCGCCCTCCTCGATCTGGGACACACACTCGGGGAACCGGCGGCGCAGCGCCGCGGCGACCGCGCCGCCGCCGAGCACTCGGAATCCGCTCCGGCCTCCTGGGGCGGCCAGAGGCGGCGGCAGCCGGGATCACACAATCCGCCGAACCCGAAGGCGCAAAGTTTGCGCCACCTGAAGGAGGCGGCGGGAGGCGGCCGCGGCGGGAGCGGCTGCGCGCGACCCCCTCCCGCGCCGGGCCCCTCCGCGCCGCGCCCGTTCCCACCCGCGCGCTCGCAGCGCGGCTGCCCCCGCCGGCGCCCCTCCCAGCACCCCCCCTCCATCCCCACTCCCAGCGCGCCCCCCTTCCCGCCTCGGCCGGCTTTCCTCCGCGTCTCTCGCTGGCTGCTGGGGCGAGCCTAGCCGCCGGCCGTAACAGTTCCCCCCATAAATAAAAGGGGGTGTTGGATAATAACCGGGGCACCTCCCTTCAACACCCAGCACGGCGACGCGACTGCGCCAGAGCCCGGAGCCGGGCGTCTTCCCCTCACCCGCCGAGGGTAGCAGCTGTTCTGGGAAAGCCCCGAGCCCCGCTCCTTGCCTTCCCTTCGCACCCCGGGGGCGCGGGGACACCCGAGGGGGCGAGGGAGATGGGCGCGGAGATCTGCCCGCGTTTCCCCCAAGTCCGCGATTCGGGGAGACTCGGACACATCCCTGCCCAGCCTCCCTTTCCCTGCTCCCTGCGCCTCGCCAACACCGAGTCCGAACCAGCCACCTCGGGAGACCAAGATCCCCAATTTTATGATTCGCTTAAAAAGCCGAGTGCCAACTTCTTCCAGGGAGCAGGGGGTGAACGGGGAGCGCGGCGGGGATCCGCGGGCGGGACGCGCCGCGGGGTCTGTCTCCGGCTGTCAGAAATGCGTGCGCTAAGCCGGAATTTAAATGCCCTTTCCGAGACGCGTAAAAGTCAGCGGCTCCCACACGCAATGTGTAATTCTTACTCCCAGGAGCTCGGGATGCACCGGGCTCTCCCTCCCCTCTTCTCCCCCCAAAAATCAAAAGCAATTAATGCAATAAAGCAGGAATGTCCAACCGGTCGAGGGCAGCGTCAATATATACGCAAGCAACAACCCTAAAGACTGACTTTCAAAAACGCACCCGCTTTCCGTCCCGTCCTGACCGGCCCCTTTACCCCATCCAGCTCTGGGTCGTCCTCACCCCCCCCCCCCCCCCCCCCCCCCCCCCCCCCCCCCCCCCCCCAGAGCTGCCACAACTACTCGGAGAAAAGTGTCAGTAGCGCAGGAATGGCAGAAAAGACTCCCCCGATTCGGGCATTCGACTCGCCGCGGCATTCAAGAGCGCCGGGGAAAATAAATGAAAAGACGCATAGATCCGGGTGCTTACCGGATTTTCCACTCTCCGAAGGAAATCCAGCGTCCAAAAAGCGGCGAGGAGCGCCTTTCCGAGCAGCGGGTCCCGGGCAGCGGCAGGGAGGGAAGCGTCTCCTCGCCCAGGCGGACCGGAGAGGCGCGTCCTCGCTCGGGTGTTGTAAGTCCAGGGAACGGCGTCCGCCCGCCGCGACGGGCAAAGTTCGGCGGCGGCAGGGGGAGGGCGGCGCGGGCCGGGGTCTGCGCGCAGGGTGGGGTGGGCCGGGGGCAACGCACCCTTTCTCTCCGGATCTCCCTTCCCCGGGCGCCCGGAGCGCGACGCGCCTCGCTCGCCTCGCTCTGCTCTTCCACCCGGGCGGGAGCGCCCGCTCGCTCCCTCTGCCTCTCGCTGGGATTACTACAGCGAGTCAGATAAAGCCCCAAGAACCGGCTTTTATACAGCACGATCCCCTCTCCCCTCCTCTTTTCTTTTTCCCGCCAAGCCTCTCTACAGCCCTGCCCTTCCAGGGGCCGGCAGGGAGCCAGGCGGCGGCCGGGGCGCGGCGGCGGCGGCGCGGGCAGCCGCGGCGGGGAGAAGCGCCGCTCGGGGGTCCTGCGCCGCGCAGACCCTCGCCTATAAAGGGCCGGTGGGCGGGGACTCGCGAGAGAGGATCTTTTTTCTCTCTCCCCCGCCCTCCGCTTTGGGAACCGGGGAGGGGCGCTCCTGCCGGGGCCTGGCTGGGAGGGGGTGCGGGGAGGAGACTGGGCCCCGGCTGCCTGGCGCTCCAGTGCGCGCGGAGCGGTCGGATGTAAACAGTCGGAGCGCAGCCCGAGCCGAGGGCGCGCGCCTACCATTTTCTTTTGCGGCGGCTCAAGCCCCGTCTGCCTTTCTCCGCGGCTCCTCCGGCGCCGCGCTCGGCCGGACAGCCCGCATGCTTGGCTCGCGCGCCTAAATCCTCGCAGGCGGAACAGCTGAGCCTTCAACACCGAACGCGACGTGTACCCACCGCCCCGCCACGCACGTCCCTGGACGGGCGCCTCCCGAAGGCTGGGGAAAGGGCAGCGTTCGGAAAATAAATCCTATGAAGACAGGAGGGAAGAAGGGGGGTATGGATGGGCTCGCGCCCCGAGTGTGTGTCGATGGGGACAAACACTAAGAGGTATAAGGAGGAGAATGATGCCTGGAATATTAAAATAACTCAGCAACCCACTGCCACGTATACTTGGAGATTGCGTTATGAACAAACACCCATTGCATTTGTCGGGGGTGTTGTGCCTTATATGCGCACAGCTATCGATCGCGATTGGATACCTTCTACCCCGAATGAATTCCCCAATTTGCTGTCAAAGCAGCAGGCAACCCCCTCCAGCCCCCGCCCCGCCCATGCAGACCTACAGTGAGCTCGACAGGAGCCGGCTTTTTCCCCAGGACGTGCTAATAATCCCTGAGATCTTTTCTGCGTGTTCCGGAACTGGGTTCTGGGAGGAGCGCGGTTGTGGGTGCGCGCCACAGGGGACCCTCCCCGGTCCTGTCCCCACGGGTCTGCACCCGCAAAACGCCCCCCCCCCGCCCCGGTGTCCCCAATTCCGCAGCCAGGTTTCAGAAAAGAGGCAAATCCTCTTTGCGCCCCGTGGCGCTGGTTTGCACCCGTCTGGGGGTTCCAGGTTTGGGGGAAATCAAAGGCGCCAGACGAGAGAATTTTGGGGAGGAGGGCGCAAGCCTGGGAATGGAGTTCCCAGGAAGGGGAGAGCAGGCGAGCTTGCGTACCCTGCCCTGGGAGTTTGCAGAGACCCTGCTGAAGAAGACCGTTAACTCTTTCCTCCTCAGGCAAATTGGACACTTACTTCCTTCACGGGTGTTCTTTCTTCTTTATTATTGGAATTGAGATCCTGCACACACACACACACACACACACACACGCACACACACAAGCATCGATTCTGATCAAAGTAGAGGAGTCAAATATTACTTCCGTGCCTTTTTAGTAGGTCTTGGGCCAATTAAAAATTGGCAAATTTCAAGCATTAATTTCCTACTTCACTGACTAAATTTTTTTTAACACCACAGTGAAAGTGCTTAAGTATAATCCGCGTACATCTATGAACATTTCTTGTACACATCAACTCAGAATGTTGCTCAATGCGACACATGACTTATTCGCTCCCTAAATTAATCCCTATTCAATATCTACCTCCGATTCCTTCGGGATCTGCTTTTTTTCGTTATACTAGGGGACTAAAAACAAAGGCAATCTTCCCAACCGTGGCCCCTCATCCAAAAGCATTTTAGGTAAACTCCCCCTCCCCCCCAACAGGAGAAAATTCGGGGAGAAGGGAGGAGGAGATCTTGCGTAGCGTGTTTGTGTTTGAGGTAAATTATCACCCGTTGAGCTTGCAGCGCAGCTTTCAATTGTTAAATGAGTAGGAACTTCTCCAAAAAGAGCGCACAGCGCAATACAGCTTTAAAGGTTGCAAATTACTCCGGCCGCCAGGCCTTTGCCGCAAACTCGGGGACCGACCAATCCCTAGTCGAGGTTTTGCTGCAAAGCGTCTTCCCCCCGCCCCCTCCCCAGGCTACACCCGCGCTCGGGTTTGCGAAAGTAAAGTAAGTGTGCCCTCTACTGGCAGCCGAGATCACCGCGTCCGGATGCCAACCGAGGCAGGGAGGTGGGTGGGGGCAGGGGCGTCCGGATCCCCGGGGTTTCTTTCGGGGCGTAGGATGGGGCGGCTCCTTGAAAAGAATTTCCAGCCCTCCTTACCGACCCCAGGCCGATTGCAGAGGAGAGGAAGGGAGAGAAATTGGAAGGAAAAGTGGTTCAGAAGCAGCTCTTGAACCGCCTAAGCAGTGGTGAAAATAAATCCATCACTACTTATTGACAACGAGTATCACCCTATGGAGAACTGATGCTATTTATGGAAAATGCAGAACAATTAACAAGTACAGACACGGAAAACAATGTCCGACGAAACTCTAAAGCAGTGAAACAAGCTTTAGCTCGCACTTCTTAGAAACCCATCATCTCCTAACCACCAATTTTTAAACCAAGACACTGGATTTATTGGGGAAGGCGAGGCGCAGTGGAAGGGGAGGGGGATTTGGATTTTGTTATTATAAAAAGTTTTTTTTCCCCAAAAATAGGGCTGGTGAACAAGAGCCAAATGTTTTGATAGTGATGGGGGAGGGGCATTTGGGATTCCTCTGGAGAAAAGTGTAAAGGAACATTTTGATAAAATGTTTTCGTACCCAAAAGACTGGGCAATAAAGCTTGCAGTGAACGTGTCGGAAATTCACACTGTATGCTTAGTAGGTGAATATTTCCAGTAGGTTTCTTTTTCTGATGAGAAGGATGCTTGGCAATGCCTGACCACCTAGGTCTATCCTCAGGAAATTTGGCAACAGGAGTTCCTTCCTGGAAGAGGCCTCTTAGGGTGGCTTCCCAGGAATCTAGCACTTTAGGCTTTGCTCTGCTGGAGGCTAACTGACTACAGGCCACAGGACACACATAAACAAAAACAACAAAACACAAAGCCAACCATCCAACCCATCAAAGAATGACAGCAAAAGTAGGTTTAGCCCGAACTCGAGGGTAGTTTTCGAAAGCTGTTAAAGACGGCAAAATGCCCTACCTTTTTTAAAAAAAATCGAAATATATTTATTATGTTTTTCCAGGTATCGAATTTAGTGATTCATCACTTACATGCAACACCCAGTGCTCATCCCAACCAATGTCTCCCTTAATGCCCCTCCCCCCTTGAGCCCTTCTCCGCTCACCCAACACCTGCTAGCAACCCTCAGTTTGTTCTCTGTATTTAAGGGTCTCTTACGGTTCACCTCCCTCTCTCTTTTTATATTATGTTTGCTTCCCTTCCCTTATGTTCATCTGTCTTGTATCTTAAATACCACATATGAGTGAAATCAAAATATGCCCTGTCTTCATGTCTGACTACTGAATTATGGCAGCCTCGTGCGGGATGGTTAAGGACATGTGCACCCCCCGCAGAGAGCTGCCTGTGGGTTTGGGACTCAACTCCCCCAGGCTGGTGACATCACCTGGGGTGTTACTTTCAAGTAACAGCTTGGAGTTATTTTGTGCCTCGGAACAAAGCAGGGGCCATCTCATTTTACAGCCAAGGAAATGGAAAAATCAGATCTCAGCCGGGTTAAGGGACTTCACTGTCTTTCAGTAACTTTTAAGAACCACTTGACCTAGAGTAGACATTTGCTGGGTTGAAAAGGGCTGGAGAGATTAAAACAGATAATATCTTTGGAGATGACCAAAGTGATTCATGCTCATTGTGAAAGAAAAATTGTAACATAGGAAAACAAAGGAATAAGAGAACCAAAAGTTTGTAATCCTGATCAGCCAGAGATAGCTGTTGGGGTTTATCTGTTAAGGACGCTTTTTAAGGGACAACTTTGGTCTCTCTACTTCCTTTTGCAGGTTAAGAGAAGGTGTCTATTGGCCAGGCATTCCTGGTTTGCTGGCCTAGAGGCACGCTAAGGCTGTGTCTCCCCTTTTTTAGGGTGTTGCTGGGTTTCTAAGAAGAGGCAGGTCTTCAGATCAGCGGCTCTGTGATGGCCCACAGGGTTGGGACTGTGGGGAAACAGTTCAGTGAGATTGCCTCCTGGAAGAGAACACTGTGTCACTGCAGAGAACATTCTTTCCTCTAGGATGGTACAAATAAGAGCCGTTGATTCTCACAAATCATATTCTCACAGAGACTTTGTGAGCGCCACTTTCATGCTTAGGAAAAAAGAAAGATGTGTAAGAAAGAATGAGCAATTTCACCCAACTTTCTCCATTCTTTCCAGAGACACAAAAGGAGAGATTCAGAATGTGTGACTCGCAGAACATAACGCCAGTCGCCACCTTCCCCTCTTCTTTGAATATCTCCTATCCCCAACCCTCAAAAAGTTTCCTATAGGGGGAGTTGATCTTTGACAGGTAAGAGAAGTGACTAATATAGACAGAAACTGGACCCCGGTGATCCAACCAACTCCAGTTTAGGAGCGAGACAAAAAGCCCCTCTCGATAGCTGGTCTATAATTTCAAAACCTCTTGAGGTCATGTGGGGCCTGTTGAGGAGGGAGGAGAGAGGGGAACATGATAAATATATTTCTCCAGCAGCAAGATCATTTTGAAAGAAGGGCCATGAGGTTCAAACCCAAGCTGGCCAGGGAATGTTAAATGAAGGGGAAGGTCTTAACTGCCATTTAACCGACAACCCTGTGAGAGGAACACAGGAAAGCTCTGCAGCAGACGAGTCAAGGAAATCCAGCCAATCATTAATTCACAGGTATGGTCACAAAAAAGGCACTGATGAAAATCTTTGTGCTTTTTAAAAAAAAATGCATTTTTTTTTTTTAATGTTGTCTCCCTCTCCCCACCTTTATATAGCACAGCTTAAAGCAACCGAGAAAGGAAAACAAAATAGATGTTTTTAACTTAAAACCCTAGAGCCTACATTTCCTGCGTTGTGTTGAGTACATTTCGTCGCTCTCTTACCCACTGACTTCAGATCCTGGCGGAGGGTCCTGGGTTGGACCCAGTAAAGCCTGGTCTCGTCTCCAGCTTGGCATTCTTTGACTCCTCAGTCCTCTGTGAGCCTGCCTCCTTTGTAGCTGCTGGAGTAGACAAATGGTTCCTTTGTTTAGCCTCTTCAAAGGCTCGGTTTATTGTTCTGTAAGTGCTAACTCTCAACCAATCTCAGAAGTTTCCACACTTTGGCACTCACTTGGCCTGTCTTTGCTATGGTCCTTTTGGGCGACATCTGTCCCCAGGATGGACCCTAGCTGGGTTGGAGGTGGAGGTGACTGCAAAGGAGACTCTCTAAGGGAGGATTTGGGCTGTTTAATCTCTGACCTTCCTCTGGAAGCCAGTGGGAATGGGAGCTTGTTTCTTTCGTGGGTTTGTGGAAGTCCCAGACCAAGGCTTCTGACTTTCTGCGGGTAGCTCACCTTTGTTCTCCTTTTAGATTGTCTCTTCTTTCTGTAAGTCCTTTCAAATGGACTTGGTTACAGAAGGACCTCTCTTTTTTCTTTCTTTTCTTTTTTAAATTTTATATTTTTGGGGGGAGGGGCAGGGAAAGGGAGACAGAACCCCAAGCAGGCTCCATGAGAAGTCAGCGCCGAGCCTGTTGTGGGGCTCGAACTCACAAACCTGGAAATCATGACCTGAGCAGAAATCAAGAGTTGGAGGCTTAACCGATGGAGCCACCCAGGCGCCCCACAGAAGGAGCTTTCTTGAAGGTACCTAGTGACCTCTGATCACCAAAGCCGATGACCTCTTTCCATTTTCCTTCTTGACTTTGCTACTCTCTCTAGAGGGGAACTGATGGCTTTGGGAAATGATTGCTCTTTTGATTCTCATAAAATGATGACTCTTAACTGGAGGTGATTTTACCCCCCAGGGGATCTTTGGCAAAGTCTGGAGACATTTTGAGTTGTTACAAAGGGGTGGGGCTTACTATGGAATGTCCTGGGGTGCCCAGCACAGCCCCATAACAGAAAGGTGTGTCAGGTTGGGAATACCTGGTGTAGCTCCACATTCTGCTGAGGTCATTCTCACCTCTCCAGTTTGTTCCCCCCTTCCCCTCGCTCTTCCTCCTACACATCACTACGTGTAGCTGCTGGAATCATCTTGCAGTGGACTCCTAATTGTTCCTAGTCTCACAATCCGTTTATCCTTGCACACCGATTCATTCGCTTCTTCATTTGGAAGTCTTCAGTGGCTTCCAATGGATGAGAGGAGGCTCCATGTTTTGGGCTCGGCATTCTAGGCCCTCGTGCAGCTGCTCACCACCTACTCTTACTCTTTTTTCCACCAAACCCGCATGTCAGAGAAACAGGTTATTTATAGTCACTCTGAGTGACAAGCCAGCCTCCACCTCAGCACTTTTGTTCAGACAGTTCCTCTTGTCTTACTGCCTCTTCTGGATTTATCTAAGAATTACCTTTCTTTCGGGACCCAGCAAAAGCCCTATTTTCTCTGTGGAGTCTCCCCTTACTTACTTACCCTAGCCCGTGATCATCTTACAGAATCATCAACGTTTGGAGCCGGAAGCAGTATTGGAGAACATCTACTTAAGTGGTTGGAAACAAGTGTGTTCTCCGAGTGGCTTCAAGGGGATGCCTGGCTAATATGGACTCACTGTGGCCTTTTCTAGTCATCAGCGATGGGCCTTCCCTTCTCTTCTCTTCAGCGATGGGCTTAGTCTTCTGACAAGACTACAAATGTCACAAGTCGGGAATCAAGTCTGGGTGAGTGATTAGTTAATCCTCCTACAGAGAATGGATGCATGTTCACACGCCACTGGGTGAGAAATCTAACGGGTAGGCTTTTCCAATTACTTTTTGGCTATGTAGGAATCTGTATATGAGAAGATGTGGAATCAGCTTGCCCCGGGCACCTCTTCTGTCATGACTGCTTGCTAAATCTGGCAAGTCACATGACCTCCCTGAACCTCACTCTTCTCATCTGTAAAATTGGACTACCAGAACTATAATGCCTATCTTACTGAAGATGCTGTAAGAACCAAATGAGATAATGCATTTTATACAGAGTCTTGTGCCCGGCTCGCACTTAGTGAATGTTAGCAGTGGTTGGTATGGATCCTTGATTTAGCAGAAAATTATTTATTGAGCTATTTTAAGTTTAATCTATCCCTATTTCATGGTGCTCCACAGAGAATCGCATCACATCTATATCCTCTATCACTTCATCAAGCATGAAAAATGGCGGACTAATATAAGCTTGTCATTGGACAGATGAAAAAGTGAGGTCTGGCATCACAAAGAGATTACCTAATGTTGGTGACTAATTCCTAACCCACCCCTCTCCTGACTCCAACTGCTACGAGACTTATTATTCTAAGCATAAGCCATCTTATAGACCTGTTCGTCCAGAAAGAGCAAAATCCTGGAAGTTCTGTAAGGCAGAATTATGTATTGTTCTTACTTAAGACAAACCAAGGCATTGTGTTAGAATTGCTGTCCTTTGGGGGGACCCATGGTCTGTCCAGGGGCTGACCAGCAGGGAGTGGTCTCTTAGGAGTGCAAGGGATGGCCTTGATCCCAGGCCACAAGAGGCTTGTGCTGAAATCTGCCTCTGCCTTCGTGCCCTGGCGAGCTGGCCTGGACACTGGAAAAACGTTTCCTTCACAGCACAGACAGACATCTAGATTTGGAAACTCTGACTTCTAGCCCACATTTCTTCCTATCAGATTTTAGTTCAAGCGTTGCTAACTCCGACGCCTACAGGGGCCCAGCAGGGAATGTAAAAGGGGAATGCAATAGGGAGTGGTGGGGACTGTACCAAACAGCAGAACATGTGCCCGTGTGAGCTAGGCAGCTGCTACACAGCCCCTTCAGCGTTGGTCTTCTGATTCCTCAGGGAGAGGTAGAAACTCTGGTTTTAAAATGTTGGCAACTGATTTTAAAAAATATATGTAGAAACAAAACAGGTCGGTGAGATAGATTCAGCCCTCGGGCTGCCAGTCTAAGGTCTCTGCTTTTAGGTTTTCGTAATCCAGCTGATGGATAGTCTTGCAGGAGCTTTTCCTGATGATTTCCGCCTTCCCTCGAGCGTCTTGACCATTCCCTCATTCTTTTGTGATAAGAAATCTAACAGTGTATGGCTTTGGTGGGTTTTCATAGCTGACTCCTTGAGCAGAAGCTTGTGGGGTTGGGGGCAGATGATGCCTGATTTGCGTCTGCATCTGCCGAGAAAGTCAACATATTGCACAATGCTAGAGCTGCCATTCACAGAGTCCGTGGTGCACAGCGTCTTAGCCCCCGCCGGTGCTGCTGATCAGGGCAAGTTTCCTTTGGGAAATGCTGGAAGAGTCAAAGAGAGCCCTTTACCTCTCACTGCTGTCCCTTCCCTGGTGCATAGGGCCAAAGACATTTGGGTGTCAAAGGGAACACTAGTGTTAAGACAATGAATATCTATAAATGGACGAGTCCTTGCCCTCCAGAGAGCTTGGTAAAGAACACACTCTTTCTCTCTGTCTGTCTGTCTGTCTGTCTGCCTGGAAAGTTTTGTAAGGCAGATTAGCCACATTTTTGCTTGTGTTGGTAGGCTTGCAGACTTGTGTCGGTGAGGGGGTGAGGGCAGAGGAAGAAGTGGTGGACAGAGGCGAGAACCTGGACCTGACAATCCTCTAACGCTGGCAGTCCTGTGAGCCTTGTTAGGTCAGGTTCAAATTCTGGCACTGACTTTGGATATGGAGCCTTGGAAGAATCACTTCCCCGAGATGTGGCTCTGCCTCCCCAGTTTCTGTAGAAAGTGGTGACAACCGTGGCTGCCCCGTAGAGCTGAATGGGAACACACGTCCTCAGAAACGAGAGCTGCCCTGTGGTTAAGCTTCGCAGGGTCCTCCGCCTGGGAGCTTCCCATTTCTTCCTTTTCTCAAATTGGAAGGCTGTCACCTACCTCAGGGGCTTATTCGAGGGTTCAGGGTGAGAATGCATCATACCTCCCAAGACGTGTGCCTTAGCTGGCATCTAGGTGGGCGCCCTCCTCCTGTAGGTCTTATTTCTGGGGATGATGCACAGGTTGGTGACTCTGGCCATTGCTTTCTGCTTGCACAACCAGGCAGTCACTGCACCCGGCCTCCAGTCTGCGAGGTAAGGCGGACTCCCCTCTGTGCCCCTCCGTCCAAACCCCATCAGTGCCTTTGGAAACGCTTGCTGCCGTCTGTGGGCCATCTTGGCATTAGCACTCTCATTCCTCTGTCTGCGGGGAGGGCTGGGGGGAGGGAGTAGATGTTGGGAACTGGCCAGGGAACTTCACAGGCCCAACAAAGACTTTTTTTTTTTTTTTTAAAGGGTTGATTTGGTAAGAGGCAGAGGGGAATTCCATGGATAAATAATAATTTATGCAAGGGATGCCACCTGCTTCTCTGTAGTGCATAATTGCAGGCTCATTTCCTTTCCCCTTCCTTGCCCTTTACCTTTCAACCCCTTCAATAATTATATTGACACCTCCCCAGCTAACCAGGTGGGGGGAGAGGCATGGGGTGCCCACCTCGGAAGCTGGCTATAGACAGTTTGCCATAAGACTGAAGTAATTAATTTTAATGCATTAGAGGATTCAACACTAAATAAGAACATATTGAGGTTCTGGAGGGTATAACTGAATGTTGTGCTGGAAATTAATAAAAACTGGCTTCGCTGGAGATATTTGATTGTAAATTAAATTTGGTCTTTGAACAAAGACTCTGTTATAGGGCTCTCTAATTAGATTAGGAATCAAAACCGGTGTACCCCAAGCCCTCTCATCGCCACCCTGCCCTTACTTTAGCTTCTGTGAGAATGTTTTGGGACTCTGGATTTAGGTATGAATTCCTCTGTCTCTCTTTGTAGCTTGGGTGAATTCTGGCAAAGGCAGTGAGGGGAGAACCTGGCTTTGGTGGGGAAGGGATGGTGAGGTGGGGGTTCAGGGATCATTTTGGGAGTCACGCTGAAGTACTTCCAGCCGAGAGAGTAAACCGGCTTGAGGACCAGCGCCTGCCTGCTGATATGTTGGCTCACATGCAGATTTTGACCTTCTCAGCATTGATGACATTTGGAAATAGGTGCCAACACTTAAAAGCCAATAGATTACACATACAAGTCTGAGTTTCTGCTTCCCTCGAAAAGCCAGCTTTGCTAATCCTGGGCTTGCCTTCTCATGTGGATGGAGGCTGAGGGCAGCCGCTGCTTCAGAAGAGCCTCGAGCTTTTCACCTTGCTTCAGCCCCCACCACTCCTTACGCTGAGCCCACTCCACTAACTTACAGCTCCTTTCTGGCTTCTGCCCGGTCCTTGAAGGCCTTTGAGCTTATCATGTCCCATTTAGAAAATTGCCCAGTCTATTTACAGCTCTAATTACAAGGAAAAACTTCATCTTTTGAAAGGAACTATTTAAGGGGCGCCTGGGTGGCTCAGTCGGTTAGGTGTCTGACTTCGGCTCAGGTTCATGGGTTCACGCCCTACATCAGGCTCTATGCTGACAGCTCAGAGCCTGGAAACTGCTTTAGATTCTGTGTCTCCTTCTCTCTCTGCCCCTCCCCTGCTCACACTCTGTCTCACTCTGTCTTTCAAAAATAAATAAATGTTAAAAATTTAGAAAGGGGGTATTTAAGAAATAGTTATTGGATAATGATGATACTAGCTAGTATTAAGCACACACTACATGCCCATGCACCTACCCTTTTTTTTAAATAATAGATTTATTGAAATGAAATTTACATACCATACTATTTAAAGTACTTTGTTCAGTGGTTATTAGTATATTTGCATGATTATGCAAGTATCACAGTGATTACTTTTAGAACATTTTCATCACCCTCAAGAGAAACCCCATACCTGTTGGCAGTTACTCGGCTATCTTCCCTCAATGCCCAGCGCTAGGCAAGCACTACTCTACTTTCTGTCTGCGTGGATTTGTTTATTTTGTTCATTTCATATCAGTGGAATCACACAGTGTCTGGTCCTTTGGGACAGCCTCTTTCACTTAGCATATTGTGTTCAATATTGTGGCACGTATTAGCACCTTACTTTTTATTGCTGTGTAATATGCCACTGTATGGCTCAATCACGTTTTATTGATCTCTTTATTTGCTGAGGGACATTTGGGTTGTTTCCACTTTTTCACTATTCTGAATAATGCTGTAATGAACATTACCGTGCAAATTTTTGTGTGGATGTATGTTTTAATTTCTTTTGGTTAAGTGTGTAAATATATACGTACACATACATATATATGTGTATGAAAATACATAGGTGAGACTGGAAATGCTGGATCATATGGTAATTCTATGTTTAACTATTCGAGAAGCTTCCAAACTATTTTTCAAAGCAGCGGCACCGTTTTACATCCCACCAGCGGTATATGAGGGTTCCAGTTTCTCCACAGCCTCGACAACACCTGTATTTATCTATATACTCTTTATTATACTCACATTAGTGGTGTGAAGTAGTATCTCATTGTGGTTTTGATTTGCATTTCCCCGATGGCTAATAATATCGAGTGTCTTTTCAAGTGCGTATTGGCCGTTTTCCAGCCCTGTTTTAAGTGCTTAAGTGCAATAATTCTTTGCACCACAACAACCTTGAGAGATAAATATTATTATTACCACCCTTCCCTATCACCTGCCAATCAGATTTTCAGTTGTAAGCTTTCTTTTCAGAGGATGAAATTAATCCTTATTATACACAAGGGAATTTTAGTTCCTGGTTCTAGATAGGAGTGTAAACCTCAAAAGAAGTCTGTTTGAT